TTACTTCACAAGAATAGAACATATTTATGTCTATCCTATCCAGGTATGTCCTCAGACAGCCCAAGGCCTAAGGAAGCTGATTTTCAATCTGCAGAACTAAAGTTAGAGTCCATGTATTGCTACAAACAGATACATTAAACACATTATATTATATTATTCAAATAAATACAGAAACTGTATTTCATGATGTCATTTCATTTCACAGAAGCAATTTCCTTTTAAGCAACATCTAACAATATTTCAGCATGCAGAACAGTATTATTTTGCATATAAATGCAGAGACATCAGTACTGATCAATTTCAGTGTAATTTAAAACTTAAGTAAGTGCTGTTATACTGCATTTCCTCAGTTTGTAAATCTGTCTACCACTTCTTACTAAACACCACCTGCACCAGAGAAGAGCTTGACCATTTGCCTGTCGAATACTCCACCTCCTCCCTAACGACAGAATCCAAAAAAAGACCATGAAACTTAAACATATGGGGAAGAGGAAGGGCTAATGAATGAAAATGGCAAGAGTTTACAACACTCTTAGACATGAAAAATGATATTTACATTTAAAACATGAGTGGGTAATGCAGTGTGACAAGAGATCATTTTTGCAATAACTATGGGACATGGAAAACACAACCCAGTGTTCAAATAACTGATGAGGCTAGGACAGCTCTTCTACCATGTCTTTAGTTTATCCTTCTTTTGATCATCAAGCGCCATAGCGTCTCTGCATTGAACAGGGAGAACTTCCCTCACATGGCTCGCTGCAACTTACTCTTCTACAGATGCACGCTGGTTTTCTGTGACATTTGTTACCTTTCATGTGAATCAGTAACATATTTAGAAGTTCCTATATTCAGGCTAATATACTGTATTCTGTTTCTACATTCTCCTCCAAATCCGGACATTCCCAAAATATTTCAGATCATCTGCTCACATGTCCATGCGAAGGGAAACTAGTATTTCTTGTCATACCTCTCTAGTGACACCCTCACCAGCGCCTGGTTAAAAACTTCTCTGCTACCATTCAAGAGCATCATAGCCCACTCCAAGCTTGCCAGTAACGTCTTTTTTGCTTCCCATTAGTTCCTATGCTGTATAGGCACAACATCAAAATCTGAAATTTTAACCCATTTATATAATTACTTTTTAAAATTAACTATTTTTAACACACACCCCACCATTTTTCATGCTTTGTAAAGAAGAACACAAATATTAATATCCTTCTCTATTTCTATACAGAGTTTTCTGGAACACAAATGTCATATTTCCCATGTGTATGCATGTGTACTTCCACACAGGTGAACATATACAATGTACACTGTTAATCAGCGTACATTAAGCAAACAAACTTTGACTTCCTCTTTTTCCACTCTAAAACTTTACAAACATGCACTTCTCATGGATTTTTAATAGATGTTCATATTAACAGATTTTCTCACAAGAAAATCTGATCAGAATATACTCCAGCTTCTATATACTTATAATAAATCTTCCAGTATCAACAATTTTTTTTTATTACTAAGCATATAGAATTGATGTTACAGGCTAAAGAGTATCTCATTTCTAAAGATAAACATAAAAAGGCAAAGTAACCACACAGCTGCAAAATTCGTAAGGCTGTATTTTCAGGCCACATTCTGTGCCACATCTGACAGAAATGGAGGCTCTTTTCTCACAACTGAAGTTTTATCATATATTACTGGGGAAAAAAAAAAGGGTAGTGGAAGTTTTGGTTCCAAAGCATGACATACAACTCTCATTTGCAAGTTTACGCACTGCACAGTACCACCAGTGAAACACAAACTTGGGTTTTGAAAACTAATTAAATACTTCCAGGTTCTGTTCCTAACACGATGTAGCTATTGTGATGTCTTCCAATATCATAACACTAAATAAAGTGCACTAATCACACATACTCACCAACAGGGGAATCCCATTAGTAAGTGACCATACAAAGAAAACAAACTAATTGGTAGCACAGAAGAGGAAATCCTGTCCTCACAGAAACCAGCAGCAAATTCCTATTGATGGTGGCAGATCAAGAATTGTATCCATTGTTTTAGCCATCATGAAGAATACATCCAAAAGAGATAAGTATTTTCTAGCCTTCTTGAGAGATGAACTATACAGTTTTCTTGTACCACTAATGATTAAAAAAATTGTAAAAAAGTGAACTAAAATCACCAGTGAGACTTAAATTCTGCCTCATTTTTATAGCTCAGACGATGACGGCAGGAAGGGGAAGAAGGACTTTTCTGTAAGAGTCTTAATTCACTGTTTGTTAGATATCCTGAGAACACCACAGGAAAGGTGGTTTTTTACTGCAAAGTTGTGTATGTGTTTGTTCTCCTTTTTTTGCCCACAGCTGCAGACAAAACAAAGAACATGGACATGAACAGCACTCTGAACACCAGTATAAACCCTCACATAGTTTGCAGAGGCTTTGCAAAAAAAAAAAAAAAAAGGAAAAAAAGAAAAATAGGCCAAATTATCCCTTAGATACAGCCACACAATCACATGCATCAGGATTCATGCACATACCTATTTTAAATTATTCCCAAAGGATGCATTCTCTCTCTCATCCTCTGTACAACTCCTCTGAAGCCAGTAATATAGATCCTGGCTCTGCATTTCCAAAATATAGCTATGAACACACCTCCTTGGTTTACTGTCAGTTCAGGCATTCAATGATCTTACAAGCAGTTAATGTCTTTGATGACAACACACAGTGAAGAAAATATTTTTGTAAGGCAAGGTGCTATCCCATGATATGTAGTTGCTGCTTTTTCTACTCATGAGGCTTTCCTTTATTAGACTAGCTGGAATACTGTAGACACATCCTCACTTCATGTCCTTCACCAGAGGTGCCGGAGGCAAAAGTTCCATTGATTTAAGACCTGAGGCTGAATCAATAATCCCAGTGCTTTACGAATTCATTTAGAAATGGAGGCTATATGGTCTTTAAGGCAAAAAGAGAAAGGAACACAAAACACACTGAATTTGTATTACGTGTGCTCCAGAAGGTCCTTTTTGTTCTTTATTTTCTCTTTTAAGTTGCCTTTACACTCTACAACCAACAGAGCAAATTAATTTTCCCAAAGGATGGAACCATTTATCCATTTTTGGTAAGTCCAAATGCATTAACAGGTGAATTGATGCTGGAAAGTCTTGGGAGCCCAATATCCATGAAAATTCCCAAAAGGAAAGGTAACACGATGCCATTTTTTGTTACTGGTGTCATATTTTAAGGTAAAGGCAATGCCTGACTGGTTCACTTAGCTTCTTGGCAATTCTTTCCAGCTTTTTTCAAGGGAACATCACATATTCAAGAATATTCACCAGTTGCAGGTCCAAAAACAGAATGGAGACCTGAAGACTTCTCTAAAAACAATTAGCAGTAATCAAACAATTATCCATAACATCTAATACTATATACCACTTGACACTTTAGTTTTTGCGCAGATTCTTCCGCAGAATACCCACACATGAAGATGGCAAGTCTTATTATCACAAATGAGAAATCTGCAACAAGCCTTCACATCCAGTGAAATATCACTGAATCCAAATACATACAGACACTTTATAGTACTGCACAATATGCATATGTGTTGCTCAGTACAATAGAAGAAGCCAGCCTGGTTAGTCCCGCACGATTGCCTATGTAGTTTTGGAAACATTAGCCCTGTACTCTGCATACCATATGTATTTATAGCACATACTGAATATATATACACTATTGCAAATAATAACAGAAGATGGATCTAGTTCTGAGACAGACCGGTTCAGAGAGCAGTACAGGAGTGGAGCACCCTTGGAAACCATTCTTGACTATTGGAACTTGCCTAACGAAGATGACAGTGTCAGCTTTTCCTCACATTCCCTCTCTGCACTCCTTGAGGTCATCCACTTTCTAAACTACTTACTGCCTGCAGCTTCCTGACTTCCCCAAAGCTGAAGAAGTTCAACTCAGACATATTGAAAAACCAAAGACTGCAGGTCACACACTGAAACAAAGCAAATGTTAATGCATTTGATGACAAAAGGAGTTATGGTTACAAGAGTCAGCTCACATTCCCTACAAAATTCAACACCCTTCCTAAGCCTTAGACCATCCTGGGTGCTTTGCTCCTACATTACCATTAGCACAGTAGGGCTGCTATTCTTCCAAGTGTGCATATCTCCAACAGAGACCCACAACTTTATTCTATTCTCCTGTACAGATATATTCTGGTTTGTATCCTTGTGTGTATGAAAAAAAGTTACCCTAAAATTCATTATACAAACTACAGATCCTCCCAGATACCTTCCCATTCCCACATGAAGCAAGCCCTTGCAAGACTATGGCTGCTGCAAAGGCACAAAACTTCAGTGCAGATGGTTCCCAAGGATCTTGCAGATGGTCTCGTAGTATCCAACAGGCTACCTGCCCTTTTCTTCCTGTAGGGATGGTGCTAAGGAAGGAGTTCTGAGATTCTTTTGTGGAGTTTCCATCAAAACCTGTGGATTATCAGTCTCATGCACTTACTTACTCATGCATTTCAACTTAATTGAAACACCAAAAATTACTTTACAGCAAGTTCTGCTTTGGAGTCTAAATCGTTAGGCATACAAAGAGCTAAGTACACCCAAGACAGAAAGCCGGATTCCCATTAAAAACCTAGTTGCAGGTGTTCATGGAGCAGTGATAATGCAGTGGACAAAGCCTTCTTTTCCTCCTTCCAGTAAATCTGTACGTTCCACAGACAAACAAGGAATGCCATCAACTACCAGCATACACTAAGTTATGTCCAGCTCTGTATTTCTGCATGACTGGAGTCTTCTTGTGTATTGATGCACTCAAGTGTGTGGCTTACAAAATATTCCTGTAATGATAGCAGGACATTTGTGAAAATGCTGTTCAGCTCAAAGCACAGTAGACCACGCAACAGTGAGCACCTGACTGAAGGCAGTATGTCATGCTGAAGATCTGCAAGGAGAACAAAGCTTTCAGTGTGCCACTTACACTAAGCCATCTTCCTGAGGACCCCAGTCAACCCCCTTGTACACAATAGATTTTTCTTGCTTGAAGCAGCATATGAGACCACGAGGTAGGGGGGCTTTAGGGAGGCAAACACTAGGAACTGCTCTCTTCACATTTAAACGTATATCAGAAATATAATTCCCAGATGTATTTCAGTTACATGAAATCCAATCTTGACTTTTTAAGCAAGTCTAATACATCGACTATTTGCCCACTTGGATGATGTGGACACTCATTCATTACATGAACTCCAAGGGATAATACACTCCAAAGTTATTCATGAGGTAATACGATTTGTCTTTACTGCAGTCATGATACAACTGGATGCAAATCAAAAAGGGCTTCACTCTGCAAATAATACATAAAGAAATGTGTTATAACATTCAGGAAACAGAACCTCAAATATACTTGCTATACTGGAGGAATCATTCACGTTACTGGAAAAGACTTCAAATATTAGGCTAATAAATTATGATTTCTTTTCCAAGGAAAGAAACAGCAACCATTTTTTTCATAATTTTTTGGTAGAGCTGCTTGCTGACGTTTACGTCTCCACTACAACACGAAAAGCACACCAAACAGTATTACCATAAAATAGCAAGTCCGTGAAAATAAACGAAAAAACCCCACAGGATTTCAGAATGCACAATTTCGAATTCAAAGAGCGCTGTGTACAAACCCAACTTTGCATTTTACCAGCCCTCCTTTTCTTTTTACATTTCGCCACGACATAATTGGATATACAAAACGCTACAAACGTGGAATAAAACTACAAATTCTCTTCCTTAAAATAAAAGGTTACGCTTGTAATTACACGACTTTGACATATCATTTTGTGCAATTACTAATTAACTAGGACCCCACGACAGAATAACGCAGAAGTAGTGATTTTCTTCCTCGAGAGCTGCTCTTGCTCCGTTTTAAATGAAGT